GCGTTAAACGTTGATTGACAACGTGAGCAAAAAACTTCTCTGTGTGCACGGGCCTTTAGTCATAATGTTACAGTGTGAGCAAAATCACCTGTTTTGTAATCACTTTAAACATTAAGTTTGAATCATTTAAACGTTAGCACTAAGTGACGTTGGTGAATTAGTAACAGCTTCTGCTGTTCTGACCTCAGCTGCAGATGTGAATGAATGGCGTAAGAAAGCAGTCTGTAATACAAAGGGTTTTTGGTCTCTCCATCTTTGATTTTCTTTTTTTATATACACGATTGTGTCGTTGAACCTTTAAACGCAATATCACACTAGGTTTTTATTTATATAAACCTTGCTTGTAATCTTTTTTTTTTACGAACATGATAAAACCCATGCATACACAAGTCCATTGTTAAAAAAAAAATAAATAAAAAATTGGGGTCAGTAGGACATTACTCTTTTTTTTTTTTTTTTTTTTTTTTTTTTTTTTTTTGCGTTAAGCCCTGTTCCTTAGTGATTTATAAAATGCACGTTAATGGTTACAGCACTTTGCGAGTAAAAATTAATCATAATAATAATAACAAATAGTGGGTAGGCTATGGAAGCAGCTAAACCTGATTTTTTAAGTTCAAGCGCTGTAACCTTTAATAAAACAAGTTGTCCTTAGCATTCATGATGATGAAGAACTTGTGATATACTGTGGTATAATAATGTTTGTGTGTGAACTGATGCTGTTTTGCTGCAAGTATTGTGTTGTTCATCAACGGTATGAAAATACTCATAATTTTTACCACCATTTATGACTGAAATAAACTTGATGGCATTGAAGATTCTAATTGAGAAGCGTGGGAATAATAATTGAATGGAATCAAGGAATCTACTTCAGCCTGTATGGGAATATAAATAGCATTTTATTAATTCCCTCCCAAGAGAAAGCAGCATAAATGAAAAGTTTGATCACATACGAACCCATACACACACACATAAAAAAAGAACTCAAGTGTCTGCAGTAGTGTGTGAAAGCGAAACACTGTTTTGTGTGTGTACGTGGCCAAATGCATTGCACAGTATGGCAGACATTTCTGCGATGTGAGGGTTTATTCCATTCAGCAGAGAACAAGAACTTCATTCTACTGAGCTTTGTGAACGTATCAAAGAGAACGAGACCTCTGGAAGAGACTTGCAGATAAGGCAACGGTTCCTTGAAACCAATTGGTTGTTAATGTAATCCACCATTGTCTGCTTTTCCCTCCATATAAAAAGATGATTACATCTTAGATTTCAGCACATTGTCAAATGTTCCAGCACTTGAGGGCGACGGGGCACATAAGGGTAGCTTCAATGTAACCTTTGTGTTTGGTTTGAGGGCTGCCGTGTCCACACACATGAAGACTTTCAAAAGAACGAGTCCCATGTTTACATTACACCTGGTATTTGTTTGCAGCACGGTTCGTGAGCCTAGCGTGACTTGCTTTTAACTTTTATTCATTTGGTTAGGTGATACGTGTGGTTTCTGAATAGAACTTGACAAAGGTCTCCGAGTCGCAGGCCAGACGGGCTTAAAAATAAAACGTCTTGTTTTCTGCTCTGCCAATTCTGATGTAAGCGATCCCTGCGGCCACCTACGACTTTGTGATTTCTGCTCTTGATTACGTGGTCCTCGGGTGGAAAACATTCAGTCAAGGCATTACAGATTGCTGTGCCGACCGTAGGGTAATCCCAACATCCTTTAGAGGAGGGAGAACCAAAATATCTCACAACAGAATAAACCATTAAGGCTGTTTTGACTGTAAGTTTGGCCTTTTAAGTGCTTTACAGTATTAAGTAGCCTCTTAAATGTCTCTAGTGACTCAGGATGAAGTGTCACTCTCAGCTTCTTTGCTAAAGTTTCTCTAATACTCACATGGTTTAAAAATTTCATGCTCATGTTTGATTGCTTTTTAAACAAAAAAGCCTCTTGACATGCCTAACATGAAAGAAATGCGACATTATGCGACTCTGAAGTCTTACTCCAGATGTTTTTTGTCATATTAGCTTCTTGCAGTATTTGCTTGGCACCTTTCTACTTTATTTTAGTGCTTGATTTTTTTTTCCCTTTGCCAAAACAGTGCATGTTAAAGAGGAGGGGCTCGTTTGTTTTAACTGCCAAGAGTGATACTTGGCTGAAATGTTTATGGCGTTTATCTTAAAACAATTGGAACCTAATGCTCGTCCATTTCTTTGCAGAACCCTCTTATATATATTTTTTCATTTCTTATTTCAGTGTGGTCTCGCTGCTGTTTATGCAGTTCGTGGTGATGCTTGATGTGAGCCGTCAGCGCTTTGTCCAAACAATGACGGCTACTCCCTGATGCTTTTTAATCATTAAGGTCGTCGTTTTAGGTCAACGGAGATTTCAAGCTCTTATGTTAGCTTTCACACTACAGACACTTTTCATTTGAAAACTTTTAAAAATATTTTAATATTAAGATTAGAAAAAGTAGTTTTACTTTGCATTATATTATCTTTGCATCACATTGTAAAAGTTAACAGTTATGCAAGTTGTTTCTAATGCAGCATTTACATTTAAAAAAATCACGTTTCTTTGTTCAAACTATTTATTTAAAACAATCTGAAACAACACTTAAAATTTGTGAGGTTTATTTGGGACAACCTAATTATTTTATGTTCAGTCCACTTAAATTTGTAAAAACTAGTTAGATAACTTAATTCCGTTATGTTGTCCTAACACAAATTGATTGTGGAACAAAACATTTTTTTATTTTTTTTAATGGAATGGGCAGGACAGTACATTTGACATTGTTCTCTCTTCTTAAAAATCTCACACAATTTTTCTCTTTTTTTCTAAAAGCCATGATAACACTTTTTTTTTCATTCGAGCAAATGAAAATGCTAATTTTTTTTATTTTTATTTGTGCTACTCTCCCATTCATTGCTCTCTTAGGGTGCTTTCACACTAACACTTTTGGTCCGCACTTGTTAGATTGATGTCAGAATACAGTACATTTAGCTAGTGTGAACGATGTCTTCTGAACTCGAGTGTGCACAAAGGAACCATACCAGAGTCTGCCTGAGAGTTGCAGTTCATGTGAACTCTGGTCCGGTTTACTTCTGATATGAATAAAATTGTATCAAATACCTGAAATGAACCACCAACTGTACAACTAACTTTAGTTTTCATAACGTTCATTTGTGTGTGGATGTGTATCACCTACCTTGATGACAAGCGGGGAATGACCCAGTGCAAACAGTGATCATACTTGCTTGTCATCACCAAAAATTACCTCTGCAAACATCGTGTGATGTTCTGAACGTTTTTCATATTTTTTGTGGCAGATATACGAAAGTGACTCTTTAGGAGTCGGTGTGAACACAAACCAGCCAAAAAGCATTGGACGCATGAAGGGACAAGCAAGCCAGTGCTCCTCAACCACCTGGCTGTGGACTTGTACTGTTTTTGTTGTATCTGAGTCTGAACGATCTTTTGTTTTGAAAAAAGACCATATTTTCTTGCTTCACATCTCGGTCATTTGTGCGCCCAAATTTAACCCACAAGCAGTAAATAGAGTAAGAAACAGCCGTTTTTGGAAAGTTTCTTTGCTAAGGGGAAAAGGCCCAGTGAAGGACCTACGAACTGCCACGGAATGGATCCGCAACCCATTTCTCAACAAATCAGGTGAATCTAGGGCGTCTGTGCAAGAAGATCAACAGCTGGAAATCGCATATTCTGGCGGGCTTTTAAGGGCCATTGACATGTCATGTCTTTTCTAGAGTTCACTCAAGTTTGTTATTTCCAATGGAGGTGCGCAGCTTGCACTCAAACGGTGTAACGCGCTCATGCCGTCCAGATGCAAGCAGTTAAATGAATACCGCGAGGAGCGTACCGCAAGTCATGTGGCAAGAACTGACCGTTCAGCTTGTATGGAATATACACATTTCGGTTGACTAATTATCTCAGATAATCACACAGCCAAACAATGCAGTGCTTTGTCATTTTTTTTTATAAATAAAGCTTGTCTCTGAGTGACAGCTTGTCATCCTCTGAGAAAATGATTGGTCGTCTAGCAAACTACAAACCTCTGACCACCTAACAACCCCGTGATAAAATTGCCAAGCATTGACTGGTCCGTGGTGGTAAAAAGGTTGTGGATCACTGCACCAGGCTATCCGAACCATGTCCAGGCACATTTGACCGCCATTTCCCGGTTCGTTTGACAAGTGTGAAAATCAGATTCAGACATGGTTCAGGTGAGGTTTGGTTGGGCTTTGGCGCAGTACACTTGTAGTGTGAGCAAACCTGAGCACGAAACTGAAGATTCAACATCATATTAAGAGTATGTTTCATATGAATTCATTAATAGTTCTTTCCAATGCACGCAAACTGTCATAAACTATTAAAGATGCAAACCCCTGGCTGCACGACAGCTGCACCTTCAGCAAACCTCCTAATTTGTGCACCTCAATGACTTACATAAACATTTATGAGCGTCAAAAGTAGTGGATCTGTTCAGCAAAAGATTTGACTGTATGTCATTGTATCCCAAACGACTTAAAATAATACAAAGCAATATAACAAGCAATCTCTATTGTATGGAGAGAGAGCACATTTTTTATGTAAACGGAACAGTCGCATTATTGTACGCTTGAGCACAGATTTCATTGAAATCTTTTTTGCTCAAGACTTTGTCTCACTCACTTCCAATCAGTTAAAATATATTCTTATTACGTTTTTATGTATTTTTATGTATAATCATAAACACACTTGTTTGTAGAGCAAGTAGATTGAGCGTTTTCTGTCGTTTATTATTCCTAGTCATTTCTTCCATTGGAAACTCTATCGGAAGTTCTAAAACAATCCCAAAAACCGTGAGCAGAAAGTGAATGGCTATATAGAAGGTCCTCGTATTGTAACCTCAACCATTTCCATTAAACCAAACCACAAGACTTACAGTGGTACAACCTATTACGTTTGCCTCTCAATAACATGGCGTCCATGCTAATAAAAAAGATAATCTCACATGCAAGCTCTTTGTTGTCAGAAACTGTAATGGTAGTCATTAGGGCAGATGCTTTCAAACCACCGGACGAGGAAAAAAAAGGAAGAATTATGTACAGATGTAGATTTGGCACCTCACACGTACTGCAAAATGCCTAGCAGACCTCCCAAAGAGTTCCCTCCATGTTATGCCTTGATTTATTTTTTTTTTGGGATATAGTTAAGGTCAAAAAGGTATGTTGGGAAAATGGCTGTATACAAATGGCCTAATTGAACTGTCGCTGAATCCTTGGCCTTTTATAGTATGCAAAGTAATGCTTTAGAATACTCAATTGCTTATGTAACCTTACTAGGAAATCCGGTGTCTTCACAGATATCATTAATGACATTAATGTGTGGATGGGCTGCCACGAATTCCTACAAGGGTATCGGAGGAATGATCACTATGACCAAACAGCTCTGTAAATTTAGATCATGAGGTGACAAACCGTGAGCGCTACATTGAAGTCTTTGGCACAGGAATTTTACTTGTTTGCAAATGACATTCCAGTTTTACACCGACTGCTTTTTTCCAAAGTGTCAGTAACCTATTTACAGCTGCTAATGCATCTTCCAGGAATAGAATCGTGCTTCTCTATCAGACCACCAGGACTGTGCTTGATTGATTTGAAGAAAATCATCAGAGTCAGATTAGAGCTGTGACAGTCCTCAGTTGTTTATGTTTCATTCCTTTGTTCATCTTTTTTCTGTCTCTACAGAAAGAATCATAGATGTTATATTATCCGCTACAAAGAATTATGGACTGGGTCCAGAACTGGATAGGTAAGACTTTTGAAATCCCTTCCTTTATGTATATTTGGCTAAAAGTTTTATGCTATATTTAAACTAGGTGTGATATGCCCACATTGACATTTTATTTCTCCAAAATAGTGTTTTATATTTTTGTATCATTTATGCATGTTGTATTTTGTTTCACAAAAATACTGCGAAATCTCTACAGTTTTAAGCTTTATTATATGTTATTAAAGTTTAGGGTTTTTTTTTTCCTCTGATTGCATTTTTTATGAACATCAAATGCTCTATATTACACCAGCTGCAATAAGGTTTAAGACATGTTTGGCGTGATTTGTTGTTATTTTCTGACCAGCGCAACCCTATTTTTCATGTTTTGCACCACATTGTTTAAATAGCAAATTAATTTGCGCTACTTTGCATACTCATGGGTGTGTCGCATCGTTGGTGTGTTGCTATTCTGAGAAACTGAAAATAGACTGCGTCATTGACCAACTAAAAGCAGGTCTAAAGTCCAGCACAGAGCGTGTTAGTTATGCGTCTATGCAGATTGATTGAACGCTTAATACACACCGGATTTACAGCAATAAACAATAATCTTTACCTATGGAAAAAAAAATAAAGGATCAAATTTAAAAAAAAAATAAAAAAAATTCTACATAAATATGTAAAGAAACACTGCCTCCTTGTCTGGGGGGCTTTTTTTAGTTTATTCATGACAGTTTGCAGTTTTATTATGATGTTATTATTTTTAGTATTATTATTTATTATATGCATATTTATGTTTGTTTTAATAAAAACAAGTATAGATTTGTCTGCAGACGTATGCATTACCATACAGGGCATAAGAATAGGATATGTGTTTAAATATAACAGTTTTTTTTTGAGCACACTTATTATTGCTGGAAAATGAAGCTGAATTTAGAAATAGTTTTGAAGCAAATCTTTGTGCTTAACAAACTTAATTAAAAATGTAGGTTAATGGATTTCTTTAGTGGAGTGGGTACAACACCCTTTCTGTACTCCATGAAAGAAAAGAAGTAAAGATTAAAAGTAAAGTAAAAGAGAAAGTAAAGGGGCCGAATAGAGGAGGCTCATTCTTTATCCTCGTGCTGCAGATGGTCTGTTTTCTCACAAGTGAAGCGTTCAGCTTTTTCTCTTACAAAGTCCGCCATGTAAATAGCAAATGCGCGAAATCGTGACGCAACTTCAAAGAATCCAACCTCTGAAGAGACATAGCCAGCATCAGGTTAGACTCACATTAGGCCAAATAAGTGAGGTTATAATGCTTTATTGCAGTTTTCATAGTAATGCCACCTGTCTTCTTGCTTGTTCTCTCTACAGTTTGATTTGTAAAAGATGTATCATAGTGGGCAATGGCGGTATCCTTAGCAACAAGTCTTTAGGATCCCGCATTGATGAATATGATGTTGTGGTAAGGTAAGTGTCACCCGTGTTATTAACCAAATCAATAAACTAAGCAAACTAGAGACACATGCTGCTGGGTTTGCATTGATTATTTGGTATGTTCATTCTGTAGACTCAATGAAGCCCCAGTGAGCGGTTACACCAGAGACGTAGGTAGTAAGACCACCATGAGGATTACCTACCCTGAGGGGGCCATCCAGAAGCCTGAGCGCTACGAGAAAGATTCGCTCTTTGTCTTCTCTGCTTTCAAACCTCTCGACTTTAAATGGCTGAGACAGATGGTCTACAAAGAGAAACTGGTAAGACTGTGTTATAGTATTTATCTTCTTGTTTATTTGTGTTAGTTGTTTTTTTTATTTCATTTAGTTTCATTTTATTTTATAACAAAATATTGCATATATATATGCATTCAGGTTGTTTTAACTCAGAAAATGCATTCATTAAACAAAATTCAAAAAACAAATCATAGTTTTTTTTTTTTTGTTATAATGAAATGGGACTTAACAAAGGTTTAAGAGCTTTAAAATCCTCTGAAAGGGAGACGACCTTTTTTGTAACTTGTTTTGGATTCTGAATGGATGGAAAATTTCTACAAAAAAAAAAAAATTTAAATGGTAAACAGATTCATCATTGTTAACTTTTTTTTTTTCACTTTAAAAATGGTTTTAGCTGAAAATATGATGTTATGACTATTTATAAAATCTATAAATGTATAAAACGTAAATTTTTTGTTTCCAATTTCACCCACAATGCAAGTATAGTATAATACATTATATCAATATTCTAGTAAATACAATATACAATATACTAGCTTTTTGTAAAGCATTATTAACACTAGAACTACCGAGGTGGTTTGCAAATTAATAACTTTGTTAAAATAAAACACACTTTTCTAAATATTTCTTACATAGTTAATTTTTTTTGGTAAAATCACTCAACACAAAAGAGTTATGAGTATTTCATGTTCCTGCTAAAATAAAGACAACTTTGTTGTCAAAAACTTAACTTTATTTTATGTTTGTTTCTAAACAAATGATTCAGCGCTGCAAAAAAGCCTTCTCCCCTGCTTGTGAAAGTAAAAATATGAAGTGCTGACGTTCATGGATAGTTTAGTAGCCTAACTGCACATATATAGGTTGTATTACCAAAAAAATTTACTTTGTCAGGGTGACGACTTACTCAAAGGGCACCTAGGTTACCCCTTTTTTAGATTTAATATAAGTCTTTTGCGTCTCCAGAATATGTCTGTAAAGTTTCAGCTCAAAACACCCATCAGATTTTTCATTATACCTTTTATAAGATTCTATATTATACCTTTTTGCATGGGGTAGCAGTTTTGTTGTACTGCGCCTTTAAGGCTAGTCCTCCCCGCCTACTGTTTCTACGTGCCTCTCTGCGTGCCTAATCTCCTCCCTCGGCTGCGTCAGACAACAGACAGAATTAAAGGAAGAAGATCTCACGTAGCGTTTGTGAGAAACACTACAATAAGAACTTTACCAATGAGTATTTGTGTGTGACTCATCGATGCAACTCCACAACAATGTCGTTACAAAGCTTATGCGCGTGCAAACACACACACAGATCGCTGTAATTCATTACACACTTGCACTGTTTTAAAACATTTGAAACTTGTAAAACTCACTCTTTTTGATCACATCTGAAAATGATTGATGATCCTAGCAAACTGGACAGACCTTTAATTCACGGTTGATTTCCGCACATCTGGTCTTGTTGATATGAATATACACGTGACTACCGGGACATGTTAATACGCAGCTGTCTATCAATTCGGTGGGCGGAGGGACCGCACTCTTACGTCAAGTTGTGGTCGGTCTGACAACCGCTCCAATTGGTCCACCGTTTTTGTGTTGTCAAATTGTAAAAAAAAGAACTGGGTGTGTTTATATCACCCCAATATGACAGTCTATACTCTATACCTACACACATGTCTGTCCAAACAGCTTGAAAAGTAGATTTTTCACCATAGGTGCCCTTTAAGTATGATGACAGACAGTTTAGTTTTTTATTTAATTATTTTTTTCATTTCATTTAGTTTAGTTTTATTACATTTTATCCAAAAAATCCATTCATAAAACAAAATTCAAAAAACAAAACATATAGTTTTTTTTTTATAATGGAATGGAACTTAACAAAGTTAAGGTTTTAGACCATTTAAATCAACTTTGTTCTGAAAGGGAGACACCCATTTTTGTAACTAGTTTTGTCTCATTTTTGTATTCTGAATGCGTGGAAAATTTGCACAAGAGCTATGATTATTTATTCCTAGAACTATCATAGCAGTCAAAATTACTGCATGCAATTCAGTGTCTGCAACTTTCCTGTGACTTTAAATATGCGTGCATCTGTTGTCTAGCAACTTCCTGCTAACAAAAACATAACTTTCTGTTGTCAAAAACATACCTTTACTTCATATTTGTCTTTCGAAATGGCATATTCAGTGCCACAAAAAAGTCCCCTGCTTGTGAAAGTGAAAATGTTTGGTGTGGACATTCGAGGGTGGTCTAGTAGCCTAACTACACATTTAAAGCTTGTATTACCAAAACTATTACTTTATCAGGGTGACGACTTACTTAAATATGATGACAGACATACAAACCTTAAATTTAATATGTAAGCTTTAAATGTAAATATGACTTGACGATATATAATAGATTATGCTATAGTATAGTTTTAGTTTTTTATTGAATTATTATTTTATTTAGTTTTGTTTTGTTTATTTTATCCCATAAATGCTTTCATCAAACTTTTTTGATAAAATTTTTTAATAACGGAATGGAACTTAACAAAGGTTTAAGACCACCAAAATCCACTTTGCTATTAAGGATAGACAGCTATTTTTTTTTAACTAGTTTTAGACAAATTTTTGTATTCTGAATGAATAGAAAATTTCTTCTTCTTTTTCTTCAAAAAAAAAAAAAAGAATATAATGGATAAACAGTAATATTACTGTTAAAACATGGTAACTTTTTAACTTTTTTTCACCTTCACCTTAAAATGGTTTTAGCTGAAAATGTGATGTTATTAATATTTATAAAATCTATAAATGTAATTCTTTGTTTCCAAATGCACTCTGAATATAAAAATAGTATAATATATAATATAACATCAATATAATAGTCCAGCTGCTCGAAGCATTATTACCAATAATATTGCAATTTGAAAACATTTGGTAAAATAAAACACAATTTCCAAGTTTTTGGACAAACACAAATTCTACATTTTTAAATATTAGTGCGTGGTCAAGTAGTCTAACAACACATTTAAATGTTGTATTACCAAAAAATCATATTTTTAGGGTGATGACTTAATTAAATATGATGACAGACATTCAAAGCTTAAATTTAATATCTCAATTGAAGCTTTTAATGTAAAAATGACGTGACAATATGCCATCTTATTTAAGACTGGTCAGAATGACTGCTATGGTGATCCTATTAGTTAGAGAAGTTAATCTCCATATTCAACTTAATTGGAGGTAGAAGCATACCACTTGTTTTTCAAGGGTTACTTTTCAGCACTGCCAGCTGCCTTTGCTAAACTTGTATTTAATTTCAGCCCCTTATATCATACGTTGATCAATTCAGCAAAATGCTAGTATTACCCTTTAACAAGTAGTCTTTATGGTTAAGGGGTTATGAATAGCCATGGTCATTGAAGAAAAGGCTTTTATTTTTCAAGGACCTTCTTCTCTTTTTATTTAGCGTATAGTAAAACATTGTCCTTCCAGGTTTGACTGACATCTAGTGAATTAGCCTCTTAATCAGGAGGGTCTGAATGAGCTCTCTCTTATCTCGCACACTTTTAATGACTCTGCCTCCATCCCATTTCTTATCACACAACGAGCAAGCAAAAGCACTCTGTTCTCCTCTGGAGTCGGCTACTCAAGGACAGCTTTTTTCATTTCCAGTCATCTGTCATGTAATAGTGGTCAGGGCGTTTGGTCAGCGTGTGTGGTTTTTCTCATAATCTTCCTTTTTGAACATACTCTGCTTCACACCTGCTTGTTTGCTACCGTTGTCAAGTGGGAATCTGTTGGCTATGTGCCGCTGGAGTTTCCAGCCAACACAACTGCGGGGTTTTCAGGAGACCAGGAGTTTTTTTTTTTTTTTTTTTTTTTTTTTTTTTTTTTTTTTACAGGGTGACATTTGTCAATGTGAAAGAGACTCAGCAGAGGAAGAAAAATAGAGAGCTGTTTGATTACTCCACTCCTCCCCTCCCCTCAGGCCTCTGGAAAGAGCCAAATTTGTCTGAACATCTGATCGCAACAAGCTGGATAGTGGAAAGTGCTCAGATAATTGATCTGCCCTCTGGCTTCTGATACATCAGCTTTGATCTCATGCAAGGAAGAATTTCTGTCATCAAATGAGGGGTCAGGAAAGCTCCAGTGTCTGCGATGATTTTAGAAACAGCGCTCAGAAAAATGATGACTACTACTAATGAAACCTCAATATTGAGTAACCAAATAGTCTTTTTTTATTTACCAAGAAGAGAAAATTTAACCCTCATGCTATAGGGGAATCTAATGAATAGTTTTAGGTGGACAACCAAGAGACACCCCATACACACACACACACACACTCACTCACCGGCCGCTTTATTAGGTACACTTTATTAGTACTGGGTTGGATCCACTTTTGCCTTCAGGACTGCCTTAATCGTTCTTGGCATATGTTTAACATATTTGCATGATAGCATCATGCAGTTGCTGCAGATTTGTCGACTGCATATTCATGATGCGAAACTCTTGTTCCACCATATTCCAAAAGTGCTTTATTGTATTGAGCTCTGATGACTTAGGAGGCCCTTTGAGTGCAGTGAACTCATTGTCATGTTCAAAAAAAGCAGTCTGAGATGATTTGCACTTTATGACACGGTGCATTATCCTGCTGAATATAGCCATCAGAAGATGGGTACGCTGTGGTCATAAATGCATGGACATGGTCAGCAACAACAATCAGATAAGCTGTGGCATTGGTACGATGCTCTATTGGTACTAATGAGCCCAAAGTGAGCCTGTGCCATTGACAAAAGGCAGGATGGATCCATGCTTTCATGATGTTGATGCCAAATTCTGACTCTACCATCCAAATGTTGCAGCAGAAATCGAGAGTCTTCAGACCAGAAATGTTTTTCCAATCTTCTATTGTCCGATTTTAGTGAGATGTGCAAATTGTAGTTTCAGTTTTCTGTTTTTAGCTGACAGGAAGAGCACCTGGTGTGGTCATCTGCTACTGTAGCCCATCTGCCTCAAGGTTTGTCATGTTGTGCAATCAGAGAT